AAAGAAAAGTAACATTTCGATAATCATTTATTAAAAAAATAAATAAAATGACAACAGTATATACATATATCTCAAAATGTTTAAAATTACTACTTCTTTCTGTTTTTTTTAAATGCATCACACAGACAAAACTAAACCATGCTGACAAAAATTACATCATCGTAGAATACATGCAAATAAATTTTGCTATATAATCTATAAGTTCTAATATTTTAGTTTGAGGATGGTCTATGGGAAAAGACAAAAAACCAAGAAGAGCGTTACGTTTCACCGAGTTTGAGACATTTTTTGATTTGATTTTCTTAATTTTTGTATATCTTTTCCCGCCAGTTTATTTAGCTAGAATCAATCGCTCCTTCTTTAGCAAGAATATCAGCAATTTCATAACCAAAAATTCCCGATAGACCAGGGTATTGAGAATTCATCAAAACAGTTGTGATGAAGTCTTTTCACTGTTCCAAACTATGTTATTATCTTTTGCTGCATTTTTTTTGCACCAAATCTTAATATTTCGCGGATACTATTTTTGTGTTGTAAACATTTACATGGTTCTTTCAATATTACCTTAATAAACATAACAAACTGGGGTGGATTATATGCTTATTCTTTTTTTTTCTATAAATCCTTTTTTAACACCAACTCAATTTGTGGAATTTAGGCAGTTTCTAAGGTAGTGTGAAAGTGCCGAAAAGCACTTGATAGAGCGTCGGAATATAACATTGTCACTCTAGTGTGGATGCCAGGTTATCGACGAATACGAAAGAGCTGATGAATTTGCTCATGGATGGACTCACTGATATGAAACTAAGACAATAAAACAACTTGTTTTCCCATAAACGCACATAGGGTTTTTGTTACTAAACAATCTCTTTCAAGATACTTGGAGAACCGATGTGTAAGATCGGAAATGTTGAACATTTGGATATGAATACACCTGAGTCAGACTCGAAGAATCTTTACGCAATCTGAAGGCTTTTTTCGTCGATACATTGACTCTTAATAAAATATAAATTCATTTCTACACGTCAGAAACGAAGGAAAAATCAAAGAGGTAAAAAACTAACACGCCTAAGATCTATCAAAGAAGGGCAGGATCATCAGATCCGTCGGCAAATAAGCAAAATGTATTATACACATTCTATTGGAAGTTTTGAAGCTAATATCAGTATAATTACCCAGCGTAATGTGGCAATCGTAGCTCAGTGGCTATGTTACTGGTTTAACAAGCTGGAGGGCTCGTGTTCGAATGCCGACATCGACAAAATTTTTAATTTCTAATTTAACTTTGCTGCCACTGTGCTTCGGAGGGCACGTACAGCCGTCTGAAAACCCTAACACTAGACCTTAGCCAGCGTATTTAACAGATTTAACCCCATGTGACTTCATACTATTTTAAGGCGCTCTATACAAAAATAATGTCAAGCCAACCTCGTATTGGAAAAATTAGATACAAAAATTAAAATTTGTGAAACGCCGCTCTTCTGTTTTTTATCCTCCCGTCTACATGTAGAGTTAAAACTAACAGTAAGTGAAAAATCCTTAAGTAGATCTAAAGAAGTAGGTATGTATATAAAACAAAACCTAATAACAAAGTAACAGGTAAATATTTAGTGTGCATATATATCTATCAATTAATAATTCAATAAATAAAATCATTATGACCTAATTTTTTTTAAATCGTGGCACATACTTCACATAATACTTAAAAAAGATTCGTGTTAGTACCGCATGCTATTAGATCGTAGAAATCGGGAAAATTCGGAAAAACTAAAGAGGTCTTGCTTTTAACAACTATTGAACACCTTGGTGCAGTTTGGTGAATATTTCCTTCGGAAATCTTAATTGTTTATTAATGATATAACTGGGAATAAACTAGGAAGTTGTTTATTTGACGTTTCTGTCATCAGATCGGAAGCAGTTTAAGTCTTTCTATCCGGATCTGTTTATTTTACAAGGAAAGCCATGCTAAGACCTATAACGATTGAAAATGAGAATATTGGCGATTCCTGATGAGGACACAAATGAATGTCGATCTTGATTTAACATCGCTACACTAAACTGTAGTTCAGAGCCAATAAAAAGTGTAGAAAAACTAGTAGTAATGATTCCCACATAAAATCAATATATAATTCTCCTTATTCACCAGATCTGGTCATGTCAGATTTTTTCTCCATATGAAAAAATCAACTGTGATTAGTATTTCAGTATACGGATGTTAATGGTACACTAAGGAATATAGGTGGAAAAGCAACATACTAATCATTAGACAACCTATTATATAGACGAAACTATTCGAAAATGGTTAGAAGAAAGCATTTCGGAATTAACTTTCACTTAAGAATAAGAAACTCCAAGAAAATCATCTCCAGAATAATTAAACAAGGAAAATAAAATAAACAATGGAATGCATTAAGGAAAAGCAACTAGTATGGTACAATCACATAAGTTATTGGACAAAGAAAGACTGTCTAAACTGGTGGTACGGTAAAATGAGCAAACCAATGAAATGCAACCGTAAATGCGCATTTCTGTACGGTATCAGTACGCTGCAGACAAGTTAAAAGCGGATGTGTTAGCTTGGGAATTCAACACTGCAAGAACAACTAATATTATCACTGAGGCTACTACAGCCCCCTGAGGTTAAGTGATGTAGATAAATGTAGTGGTTTATGTTGTTTCTAAACGACTGCGCCTGATGTTCAAAGTTATTAAAAACAAGTAAGTCTGGCTGGTTTTGTAGGGCCGGAAAAGAGGTGTAAGTATATACAGTAATGCTACAGTAGCACTCAAGACCTCAGCTAAAAAGAAAATATGGGATAAGCGTTCTAGCAATAAAAACTATTGTATAAGAAAATGGTAACCTATTTTAGCAAAATCATTTTAAACGTATCGTTTACCTACAGTTACTTATATTCTCTTTTTATGTTTTGACATTGTTCCTTTATAAACAACAATTTCTTTATGTATTATTCACTGATTATTGACGTTAAAATATATAACAAAGTAACAGATGTAAGAGTAAGATTTCGATACCGCGATCAAAAACCAGCGCTAGATTGCAAGTGGAATGTAAATTGAGACAAGAATGCACTATTGGCGGTCTAGTTTTCAATCCAACGCGTCCATTCTAACCCACTTGGAATCATGTAGTCAATGCAGTTACATGCCAGTGCTGTCAGTATCGTCACACAGTAAACAATTGTTTCTTGCGGTCAATTTTTTCTGTCCAACACTTTAACTGTTGCAAAAATATCGTAACGATTAGAAGCATTAATATTACTGTATGAAAATTTTCTCCCAAGTCTCTACACAACAACAATGGCCTTTTCTTGTTATGACATTACCTAAAATATAGATATTACGATATTATCGCCCGATCTCTAACGGTCTTCACTGTTTCAGCGCGAAAAACTAACAGTATGGTTATATGTTATAACAATATGTTTACAACTTTTTTTGTTTAGCGTTCATTATTTCTCTCCTAAAATTTTTTGAGCGTCCTCATCAGTTTAAGTTCGCGTTTATAAGTATTCACTCCCATATCCGTTGCACTTTTGTTCTTTCCTGCACACAAACGTATGGTGCAGTTCACAAAAATGGCGCCCAACGTGGGGCCCGATATAAAAATGACAGATTTTGCTCATTTCCGATTTTCTGCTGATTATCTTAATTGAGTATGATAATTAAGCTGGTAAACATTTCGTCAATTTTGAGTATGACATTTGAGTATCAATATCCTAACGTTTAATATCTTCATACCTTTCTCTTTACCGTTATTCAAACTTTGGTAGTACAGGTTTTAAAAAATTACGTCTCTTCAATCACTTGGTATGGTAACGCAAAAAACAATGAGAATAAAAAAATTATCTGTTTATAAAGGAACAACTTAACTTTTAATATAAGTACGCATTATTTTCTTAATACTCTCTTTTTGAGCATTTTTTTTATTACTTATAGCAACTATTCAGTAAACATATCAATATTAAGTTCCATCTTACAAACAAACTTATAAATAGCTTAAAATAGTGATTTTCTCGGTAACTTACCACAATCTTGAGCATATTTAGCCTAAAGTATTATAAATCATAGCTAAAGAGTGTTCAATTCAGAATTTTGGCTTGATTTTTTTATTTTTCATATAGCCGATACTAGCAATTGAATAATAACAGTATACAGAGAATATTTGTGTATAAATTAATTCTTGGAAGACAAAGGATACTGGTTGACTATTATACTGTTAATATAGACTCTACAAAGTTGGCACAACGACTTTTATTTGGAAAACTAATTTTTTTCTTTCAAGAAATATAAAATGATCATTTTACTATTACTTCATAGCAGTTACCTAAAGAAATTGCAAAGATTGTCCAAACTAAGCCATTAAGAAAATCTTTAGAAATTTTACGTCCATTTAAAAATTTTCCAGCACAGTTATGACAAGATGTAGATGGTCATTTTCATGAGTCTTAAAACTGGAACGTTTAGGCTGCAGAAGTAAATCGTGATCAAAACGTTTTGATCCTTCAGCTTGAGTTGCATCGTTGATGAACAAAAGCTGATAGGAATCCGTTAAACAGAGATAACTTGTCCCATACGAATTGGGCTATGATAAAAATAAATAGGAATGGAAACAAGGAATGTCCAGTTTTTTACAGAAAGCAACTGATGTGATTTCATACAATTTTGAGCTAAAAAACAAACAAACAAGGCTTGTACAATTTTGTTTGTAGAGGTCTAACCTCAAAGAAAACAACCAACGAGCGCATAAGCTCAGAAGCAATGATATGGAACCAACGGCATTAAATATAGCATACACAATTTCCAAACATGTTAACAATGCCAGTTTTAATACTTTTAAGCATATTTCTAATATATATTCAACAATGAGCCCCACTTTTTTAGTTTTTTCGTTTAATTCCCCTAAAACTAGCAACTTTCTGTTTAATTTCTAATAGTTCACTGCCTCACGTGGCTTTATTTCTTCTAACTATCGAATTTAACTATTCTGGAGGTGGCGGTGGCGCTTGTGGCGGAGCGTCCATCGGTAGAGGCGGTCTAGAGTTGCTACTGTGCATTACAGGAAGCGGGGCCTGCATGGGAGGCGGGTGCGCGTACATCCCGCTCCTTTGGTACATGTAGCCCTGATTGTAATACTGGTACATGTACGAAGGCGGCGGGACGTTTACATTGGGCATAGGTGGTGGGGGCATTTGGTTGTAGTAATACATCTGCACATGCGGTAGTGCCTGTTGTGCTGGCGGTGGTGGTGGTGGAGGAGGAAGGGGTGGGGGTGCGGTGTACATCTGAAAGTTGTTAGTGTTCTCCTTTGTTTGATTAGTTACAAAATTCGTTTGTTGTTGGACATTTTGAATAATGTTATCTACGTTAGGGCTTACCTTATTGTTATTGGAGTATCTGCCGTTTGTTTTAGATTCTTTAATACTGGATTTTGATATTTTGGATGCTGGTCCGTCTGGGGAACCTCGATCCTGGAAAAAATGTATTTATAATTCTCAAATACTGAAAAAAAAAACACTCTACTCAAGAGCGGAACGCAAAAAAACTTAATTCGGTTGTAAACATTGCATTGCAAATTTGGGGAATTATTTGGCTCCTGAGGGAATATTAAAGATTGATCCGCTGTGGATGTACAACATCCAGAAGAAAAATAACAACAATAACAAAAAAGAATAATTTAAAAGCTAAAAGGAAGATGCAAAAAAATAGGAAAGAGAAATATGGATGATGAATCAAAAATGAAATATAAAAAGCAAACCAAATAATATCACTGCGAAATCACAATCAATGTAACATTTATGGCGTAAGTGTATTTGTGTAAAAAAAAACATTGGCGTAATGCGTGTTACGAGTTCATATTTTAGTAAAGTATATTCAGTAAAATAATTATTTAATTATTACCTGTTTAATATTAGGCATTACATACATTAAAATATATGAAACGCGCAACGAGGGCAGATCCAGACCTGTACGAAATCTGACTATGGAGCAGTAGTTCTAATGAACCGTTAGAGATGGACGTTAACGTTATTTATCAACTCTTTGGAACAGTTTTATTCACTTCATTAATTAAAATTGGTTTATCATCATATTGAGTAAGATAGGGACTATTAGATGTTTTAGGCATCTGTATTGAACGCCTACAATTATTATAATATTAACATAGTTGGAACTTTGATTTTTTGTCCACTTTATTTAACTATTTGAATGCTGTAGATTATTAAATTAGTGGATGAGTCACTAAAATAATGGACCATGAATTTGCATACGAATTGGCCAAATAACAATTTTCTGTGAAAATTTAATGTGAATGTTTTTATTTTTCTGTGAAAAATAAAAATCCAAATAACAAAGGGAACGAGTTTCTGTGAGTGCCAAACTTAGTATTTGTGATAGCCGTTAACAAAAAGGCTACCTTAATTATTTTTCTTATTCAAGATGCAACAAAAATTCCTCCATCGACTGACCTGTTAATTTGCCAGACCTTAACCCAATCGAAAATCTTTGGAAGCGGATAAAAAAAGAAATATCTGGTGTAATTGAAATTTCGAATGCAATAATAAAATAAAAGACCTACCTTGTCTCTTTCCCTTTTCCTAGATGCACTACTTTCGATATTAGGGCAATTATTGAGCTTCTCTTTGGGTATCTTCAGTTTGATGCCTATAGGTGGAGGATTATTGGACAGCTCGGAAATGTTCTCAGTATTGATTATATTCTTAGGTATTTTAATCTTCAGTCCTTGCGGGGGCTCCGACGGAGCTGGCTCCATGATTATTTTATCTTTGGGTATTTTAAGCTTCAGCGGCTCTTTGATGGGTACCGCCGTCACTTCCGGCGCTTTATCTTTGTGTCTGTGCTTTTCGCGGTCCTTATCTTTATGCTTCTTCTTCTTTTCTTTGTCCTCGCGGTTCTTGTCTTTGTGCTTGTGCTTGTCCTTGTTCTTCTTTTTACTTTTGTGGTGGTAGTGGTTTTTGTCAGTCTGAATTTCGTGTGTGGGTTCTGGAGGTATTACAGTCGGGAGATGAGAAGCCGTCGAGGCTTCTTTTAATAAATTACTTATTACAGTCGGGTCCGATGTTTGTAGACCATTTACCATCGCTGTTGATGTCCTAGAATAAAACAAATAAATAATATTAAAGTAATAATATAAAAATATTTGATTACACCCAAACCAACAAGAAATATATGGAAAATCGTGCATGGTAATGTGTTTTATGTAGAAAAAATTTAAGTTCAGGAAAATATTCGAAAAGATTTAAAAATTTTTAAAAATAAATAAAAAAAAAATTGTTACATACACGCCTTCTACACATTTATAGGTGCCCCTAAAAACCCCTACACATTTTTTTTTTATTTATTTTGATGATACTCGAAAGATAAAAAAAACGATACCTGGGAAAAATTAACGACACCTAAATAAGCCAAATAGAATTTTTAGTTAAGAGAACAAAAAATAAGTTTTTGTAGGAAAAAATATATGAGCCATCTTTAGTTAGTTTTAACAACTGAAATTTTCAGATCATTTTTTTCACCACGAGAAAATACAAAATGGTCGATTAAACGAAAAAAACACAATTAACCCCTTATCATACCATAAAAAAATTTAAAATGAAGACTCCTAGAAACCCCTAGATACTTATTTCATTTAATTTGATGATATTTAAAGGGGAGAATACATTGAAAAAAAAAATTAAAACGCCTAAATGAACTGCCGAAGATGATTTTTTAAATTTTTAATAAATTAAACGAAAAATAATGGAATATTTGGAGAACAAATCTTTTGGGGCCTAAAATGTTCTGACTTAATTTTTTCATGACGAGAAAGTACAAAATGTTTCAAACTACCTACATATATTTTTTTTAAAACCTTTTCAAAAATCAAAAAAATTGCTGCGTATAGGCCACCCCATTAATAGTGACATCTACACATTTTTTCATTTAATTTGATGAAATTCAAAAAGAAAATAATTTGAAAAAAAAATAAAGGTCTAAGAATAACTCAAATACGATTTTTTTGTTTTTTTCTAGTTAAGAAAATGAAAAACACCGCAAATGTTTTGAGGAAAAATCTTGAGTACCCCTAAATAATTTACTTTAGACTGAAATTTTCATAATTTTAATTTTGAAAGTGTAGCAAAAATCTAGAAATTAAAAAAAATCTTAAAAAACAAATAAATTGCTAGACAGACATCCCAAATATTTAAAGAGGTCTCTAGAAACTGGCTCTATACATGTTTTTTTTTTTGAAAATATTAAAGGCGCCCGAATAAGTTTAAATACCAATTTTTTGGTAATTTTTATAGTTAAAAAAATGAAAAGTAACGTAATTTTTGTAGAAAAATATCTTTCAAGTCACCTCCAAATAATTTAAATTTTTATCGCACGAAAGTAAACAAATGATTTGACAAAAGAAAAAATACAGAATTTTTTAACGCCTTGGTTAAAAAAAACTACTGAAAAAGCCAAAAATGTTTTAAAATTTAATAAAATGGTATGGTAAGTCTTTTTTTATTAGGAGAACAAAAAGCTCCGCGATTTTTGGAGAAAAATCTGTGAATGGCATCTTTTTAAGGTTTAAAATTTCCAGAACCTTATCTTCTTCAGCATAAGAGAATAAAAAATGTTGTGGACGTAAGAAAAAAAAATAAAAATATGTAACCCTATATTCACCTAAAAACTAAAAAAGCAGTGGAAAAAATACTACAAGGGGAACACAACAATTATAGAGACTCCAAAAATATCTCTACACACTGTTTTATTTCATTTAATAATATTTAAAATGCAAATAGCTTGGGTAAAAATTACAGGCGACTAAAAAGATGAATAAGGTTCTTTTATTAAAAAAAAATGACGTGATTTCTGGAGAGAAATAATAAACCTTTATATTTAACAAAAAATTAAAAGAAAAAAAATAAAATACTACAAGAGCAATCCAAAAATTATAGGGGCCCCTACAACATCCCTCTACATATTTTCATTTCATTTCATATTATTTAAAGTGAAAATACCTTAAGCAAAAATAAAAGGCGACTTATAATATATAAATCAGATTAATAAGGCTTTTTATATTACAATTACGCCATTTTTAGATAAAAATATGTGAAGGCTTCTAAAAAAATATTTAAACTTTGAAATTTCCAGAATCTTATTTTCTTAACTATAAGGAAATTAAAAAAATGGAATTTAAAGAAAAAGTGGATCAAAGAAACAAATTACTGAAATTGTTTAAACACTTATATACACCTAAAAATTGAAATACAAAAAAGGGAAAAAATAATAAAATAAGGGAACTCCAAAAATTATAGGGGGTCCTACAACATGTTTACACATCGTTTAATTTCATTTAATAATATTTAAAGTTAAAATACCTTGTGGTAAATACTACCTAAAAAGTAAAGTCGATTGAATAAGGTTTTTTTTATTAAAAAAAAAAAGGAACAATAACATGGTTTTGTAAGAAAAAAACTTTGAACGGCCTCTAAAAAAATAATTCAAAGTTTTAAATGTTCAGAACCTTGTTTCCTTTATTATAAGAAAATTAAAGAATGTTGTAGACAAAAAATACAGAAATTGTGTAACCACTTATATTTACCAACAAATTAAAAAAAAAACCAAAAAAGGAAAAAAGAATACAACAAAGGGACTCAAAAAGTATAGGGGCCTCTACAACATTCCTACACATTGTTTCATTTCATTTAATAATATTCAAAGTGAAACTACCTTGAATAAAAATTAAAAGCGCCTAAATAACATGAATAAGACTTTTTTATATATAAAAAAAACGAAAATTAACGCGGTTTTTTTAGAAAAAAATCTTCAACCTATAAAAATTTTTTTTAAGGTGTCACTAGAATAAAAAAAATGTGAACAAAAGAAAAAAATACAGAATTTGTAAAATTCCTTGTTCTCCTAAAAATTAAAAGAAACATAAAAATACCATAATATGAATCCAAAAATTATAGGGGTTCAAATAAAATTACCAAGATTTTTGCTATAAAAAAAAAAAGAATAATTGTACGATTTTGGTGAAAAAAACATTGAACTGCTCCAGAAAAAAATTTTTTTGAGGCAAAAATTTCAAAAATGTTATTTTTTATAAGAAAAAAGTGATTTAATGAATTAATTGAACATTGCCTACTATGGCAAACATTGTGCTGCCTTTTAAAATAATCACCCAATTAAAAGTATAACGTTTATTACCTATTAATGATTTCGCCGTTACTCTCAACGACCTCTGGTACAATAATGTCCTGCAAAGGACTCTCATCTTCCAATTTCACTTTCAACAAATGAGCAGTGTGATCGGGCGTTTGTCGAGTGTCGTCGATTCCTATCGTATTGTCCCTCATAAGATTTTCGAAACCTTCAACTTGATCGATTTTCTTCATCACAGGCCTTAGCTCTGGTTCCGAGCTACTAGAATAGTTCCGCTCTCTTTTTATTTCGACCGGAGACACTAGCGGCGAAAGGAAAGCCGGGTTTTCCGGAACGACGGTAGGAACAATGTCTTTGTGAGGCGGGGTTTTCTCGGGAGAAAATAAACTAGGTCTTTTTATTACCGCCGGTATAGGAACCTCTTCTTTCACAGTTACCGGTTCAGTTTTTATTTTAAATTCACTATTAACTGGCGGCGCGTACGTACCACTGTTCGTATGCGTTAGTTTCGGCTGCGCACTCGAACTGACCGGCGTAATTATCTTAGGGACGGATTTTGGAACTTCGTTATGCAGACCTGCGTTGACAGGCTTAGTTGGGAAACTATTGTTTTTATCAGGAGTAGCTGAACTTAAATGTTTTTTGATATTTTCTAAGTGAGATTTCTGTTCTTCCGGTCTACTACGCGACACACCCGACGAAGGTACCTTGTGGTCTATTCTAGGTCTACCGTTGGGATCAAGTCTTTGTTTTTCTGGAGGATAATTCAACCTTAAGTCATTATAAGCGTTAACATTATTCACTTCAGCTTGATTGTTTAGTTTGTATTGATGGTCTCGTTTGTTTGGGTCTTTGTTATCGGATCTAGCCATATGGGCGTCCTTGGGATATTCCCTCGTAGTATCTCTGGCTAATCCGAAAGGTGAGTCTCTAGCAGCTGCTTCTCTAAGGATGTCTTTGGGTTGGGGGTAAGGCATGGTGTGAGGACGCGAGGGAGGCTTCATCTTCGGGTCCACAGGAGGTCGATCTGGCCTATCCGGCCTGTCGGGTCGATCTTGGCGATCCGGTCGATCAGGTCGGTCTGAACGATCGGGTCGGTCTGGACGATCCGGTCGATCTGAACGATCCGGACGATCTGGACGATCCGGTCGATCAGGCCTATGATGACTACTGTGAGATTTCATACTACTACTGCTGCTATTTAGACTGCTATTACTACTATTGCCCATGATTGCCTTTTGATGCTGCTGTTGTCGTTCCCGACGTTCTCTCTCTCTATCTCGTTCTCTTTGGTGTTGTGAACTGCTGCCCATATCATGCGGCCGAGACGATCTGTGTTTGTGAGGGTCGTTGTCGGAACCTGAAAGAATCAACATTGAAATTTAAAGCTTTCCCGGCAATTTTAAAGATCAATAATGAAAAATGTATGTTTTTAAATAATAGTTTATTTTGTAATGTGTGCCTATAGATCAATATAAGTTGTCAAAAAAGGTTTTTAACCACACATTGCTTGGTAACATATAAAAATCAGACATAGGTCAAATATAGCTAATAGGAAACCTTACACAACTTTTAAATTCTCACAGTATTATGCGAATTAATGTGAACAGAACATATTTTTCTCAATTTTACTTCTTTTAGGCTGTTACAAAGGTAACCATATTTTAAATAACTACAGTATGTCATACATAGTATGACATGTACAGAATTGTTTGAATGTTTTTTTGATGATAAAACATTTGCGAAGAAACAAGAAAGTAGTATGCCTTATTTAAAATCAAGCTAATCCAAAGTTAACTGTAGAAGATTTAAAATGTTTCTTTGCAATATTAATTCTTACTGGATATAACACTGTGCCATCAAAAAGGCATTACTGGGATATAAAAGACGATCTTAGTAATAAACTTGTAACCGACGGTATGCGTCGCAATAGCTTTGACGAAATTCCAAAATATATTCATTTTGCCAATAATACAGAGATTAATGGATCAGACAAGATGTGGAAATTACGCTCACTTATGAACCATCTGAAGAAAAAGTGTTTAAATAATTTTGTGCCTGTAAAAAATGTTTCATACGATGAAGCCATGATAAAATATTTTGATCGCCACGAATGTTAACAATTTATCCATGTATGTATTCTAAAAGAAGTTTAGAACTAACAATTAGAAGAACACTCAATCAGTACATGCTATAGGTATTCTTGCAAATTCTGTTTCCGCCAAATTATCGAGAATATAACTACCAAATACACAAAAATATTCGAGTTTTTCCTATAAAATACCTTTCCTACAAAATAACTAAACATCAAGACGATTTTTTAAGAGAAACGGTTTTACAAATGGCCGTAAGAGTGCTGTCTGGTGTTTTTATTGATGCTTTAGCCATGCAAACTGATTAAACAACTAAGAGCACTTATACAAGACAGATTCTTAAAAAATACTAGTGAAAGCATCCATACGGTCACACATTTTGTTGAATGATACCTTTGGGTCAACTATTCGTGGTAGAGTTCTTTAATTTTTTACTTTTACACATTTCCATCGAAATGAGTGTCTACAGAAGAAACCGTGACATCATTTGTTAATGACAACGCAAACCTACGACAGCGCATGTTGATTAGAGAATGAAACCTCCGGCAAAAAAGGTGGCTGCTTTTCTTTTAACGAAACCGGATCGTGTGCGCCGATGAGACGTGAGCAACTTGCAAAAATGCCGAAAATTGTTAGTCATAATGAAATAGTTCAAGGACAAAACCATATTATGCCTCGAAGGACCAGGAAACTTACTGGATCTTACACCGATTGAAAATATAATGTGGTTCACATATGGTTTCTATAAAAAGCTTATTAATTATATGCAAAAAGCTTTCAAGAAGTTATAACAAGTCAAGGGAGGGCATATTACCTATTAAATCAATTTAAATTGCATTATTCTTCCTTTTTTTTTCGTATATGACTAATAACTGTTCAAATTTTATTACTTGTGTCCATATCAATTCACACATTACTGCACATCTTCACAATACTGACAGAATACTTAAAAATTACTGTTAAAAAAATAAAAAATTGCATAAAGTACATATTGTGACACTTAAAATAAAAATTATAATGTATGAATGTAATAAATAAAAATTTTGAATTTCAAACCTTGAAGTCGATAAATATTTTTTATCGCCACTTTTCCGACAGCTCTTTGTTTTTTGCCTAAACAAAAGTGTAATTAAATTAAGTCAGACTAACCCGACGATCTGTGGTGGCCGTCTTTCCCGTCTTCTTGAGGAAGTTTTTTCTTCGGATCATCCTGAAACAAAGACAAGAAGCTACAAAAGGAGTTTGGCACTAGATTTGTTGATATCCAAAAACATCATTTTTCAGACAAAGCTTTTAGACATTTTAAATTTGAGAGGACAGTTTTTCGCACTTTTGAAGGAGAGCACTCGTTCTTCTTCTTGTTGCCTCGGTTACTACTACTTCGTATCGATTTTCAAACCGAAAATAAATAGATTACAGTTGCAAAATCTAGAAAGATCTGGAATGTTTAAAGTTTTTAAAATGTTTCAGCAAGGCACTTGAGGATGGGAAGGGGGTGAGAAAGAGGGAAAGAGAGAGAAATACGGAGAGGAATCGAGAGAGTGGGAAAGAAGTGGTTGAAAAGGTGAGATAGTTGGAGGGTGAGAGAGAAAAGGGATGAGAAAAAGGGATAGGGAATGAGAGGGCTGACAGAGGGAGGAAGAGGACGAAAAAGGGAGAAAGTGGGAAGGAAAGGAAGTGAGAAAGTGGGAAAGGAAGGAAGAAAAGGTTTGGAAGGGAGTGACATAGAGTGGTGGAGAGTGGAGTGAGGGAGAAGAAGAGAGATAGAGCGAGAGAGAAAGAGGGGAAGTACAAAAACTTCTTTTTTTTTTAATTATTTACAAGTATTGATTGAAATATCAAAACGTTTTCGCTCTTGTCAAACCTTCATCAGAGAGTCCTGAGAACACGTACAAATATAGCTTTAAACAGCTCGTTTTACATATTAAAAATGATAAAAATGTCGACGATCAGTTAGGTGGATCAGTTAGACAAGTGGTTAATTGCACGGGTTATCAAGAGTCACTGATGATGATCTGATAATACCGAAAACGTATTAGTGCTTTTATACTTCCTTCTTAAAAAAAATAAATAGGTTTTGATGTATTACATTATGTTCCAGACATCGCCAATTCACGTTTCACTTCAATATTTTTTATAGTATTTTAACTAATTCTGTGCATTTATAAGAAAAATCGTCGCTTAAAGATACTTACAAAAGGCGAAGGAATATGATGAGAAGGTATATGATTAACGTTATCAGCTATAGCCATAATCTTCTCCTTGAGCCTGGAAGGACACTTTTCGAATATCACCAAAAATTCTTCTGTTAATTGTTGCAACAATTCCGCCGTCACCGTGGGATCCACGTACGAATACCACTCCTTCTTTTCGTACGACAAAGGGATCTCCCAGTTGGACCACTTACAAGCTACCAGGATACAGAAACAAGCAACCACCGTTGGTTTATACTGTATACACATTGTCGTTAAATGTAAACTGTAACAAAACAGAAAAAAAATTTACGATATGTACAGTACCTGGCCAAATTATTAGGCAAAGCATTAAAAATTTGCATTTTTTTAAATTAATAATTTTTATCAACAGGAATGTTATTTTTTCGCATAGCAACATTTAATATAGTACACTGCCGTTAATATAAACACCGCCCTATTCGCCACTTCTAGACAAGCATTATCTCCTGTCAACTAGTGTGCATTTTATAACCTCAAAAACTGTCTGTGAACATTTGAATTGTAAACGGTTTTGACCTTTGAAATTTTATTGCAGAGATTGTAGCATTTGCAATTTCATTGATTCTTTGGTGTATATTGAAATCCTCTCACATACATAATATATCGAACTGCAAATACACTTACATTATTGCCAAGAACCTCTTGAAGCTGATTTTTTGCTTACATTGCTGTTATGACGATCTCGCAAAGCGTTAACTTATATAAAATGATCACCTAAGCGGTAGTTTTGGGCTTCCTGCCTCTTTTGGGTTTCCTCGAATGCGGTATCGGCAAATTGCGATCGCAATATTGCGGCGAATGACGTCATAGAAAACTGTACCATGCACAATGATAGAAGTGGTTTTCAAGAAAGCATTGGAAGCCACCGCGACGCAATATGATGGTGCCGGCATATTGAATGCGGTAGCCAATGCGGCGAGAAACATTCTGTTAACGGTTTATTGCGGTGGTGAAGTGTGGTGATTCGTTTGTGTTTATATATTGTAATAACTTTCAACTGATAAAATAGGTTTTGGAACACGGTTTGTTGGTATTTCACAAAGATCGTCTTTTATAATAATATATCCTAGGACGTAATCAAATAAGACCGGCGTCAACCGAAAATATTCTCTGAACTTATTTATGTTAGTATGTAAATGGCGACAAATCAAAATTTTGTATGCACCCTCTGTGCTGTTTTTAAAAAGGTCAGATTCAGTTCTATTATTCTCTTTCCCTGATTCCTCACCATCTACCACTACTAAAAGAGCTACATCAAGATCGTCCATGGTCGCTCGTTTTCAATACAAAACAGTACAACGCTTTCTGAGTTTACACATTGCATTGCCGCAATAGAGGAACTTGATTTTTCCACCGCAATCTGACGTTATTCATCGCAATATTACGGTTGCAATTTGCCGGTACCGCTTTCGAGCAAACCAAAGCTTACGAACCATGATCAATAGGGGTAAACAAAATGTAAGTGGCAATATGATATAATAATAACAGTCACCAAAGCCTCATCGTCGTATTATGAAATAAATCCAAAATAATCATAATTAAAAAAGTCCTAAATTGTGGGTGGCAAATTCATTTTGCCTTAAAAAATGAACCAAGGCATATTTTGACATGAAACAAAAAACACAATGCTAAGGAGACATGGTTGCAACCGAAAAATAAGGTTTTACGAAAATTCGCAAACGGAATTATTCCACAGGATGGTTCAAAGTTAGGATAATAAAACCACGTTTTAATTAACCCCGTACAATAAGTCACATATAAAATGTTATCAAAAAACTGACTATACTAAATTAAAATTTATAAATTTATACACAGTGTACTAAAAAAACATCAAAATAGGACTAAAAATAAAAAGATTGAAATACTTTGAATTTGACCAAAATTTTCTCAGTTTCGTTTTTTTGCATCTGTGTAAAACTAAAACTAACGCTAAATAATGTGTAGACTATTGAACTTACCTATTACTAGCCATAAAATAGGAAGTCTGCGCGAGGTCTTTACTAGCCCTAACGAGATGACAGCACCTTACCACGTGGGTATGTGGATGGTCTATGGCCACATCGAATCCTAGAGTTTGAAGTAAAACGTTTTCGTTAAACACCAAATCCTGGGATTGACTAATATACCTGAAAAAACAATAAATCGCTTTACTTACCAAAAGACAATGAAATTCTTTTAAATTTGTTTCTAAAAACACTAGGGATAAAAAAAACGACGAAGACAACTTAAAAAAAGAGACTTGTATCTTAATGACGGCGAATATACCGTTAAATAAGTTAAAGCATCTCATGGTTCGTGAATTTTATTTAAAAACATTTTCAACAGAACGTATCAGAAGAAATTATTATGTAAATATCATTTTTAACTAGTGAAGTCTGCTGATATTTAAACCGACAAATGAAGACATTGGCCCATTTTTTCTGCCTGCATACACAAAAAAATTTGTGAATTAAAATGATGTGTACTTTCAGTACCAGTACATTGGACATAGCAACCTTCACACCAGCCGCAACCAACACGTGAACACCAGCACGACTAGAAAGAACAGCTAAGTTTATTTTTGATATTGGCGCCCAACGTGGGGCTTGAATACACACGAGTATAATAAATAATGGAAGTGAACATTTGAAACAATATAAGATTAGGGTTTATTCAGGACCGAAATTTATTAGAAGAAATAATAAGTATAAACAAATATAATTTGGTTTAAATCAATCTAGTAAGTATATCGTAAAGTACCTTTGCCAACTTGCTTTCTTTCCGAAAAACGAAGGCCGTGCTTTCCCTCACCATTATTGTTGTACAATTAAATTTAACCGTAAAAAATACCTATTACATAACTAAAAGTTGTATATTTACCTTTCTGAATTCACATCAATATTTGTATCTCTCCCGTTTTTGCACATATTTGCTACCCTAATGACGTATTCTAATTTCCTAGGTTGTTCCTCGACTTTGGCCGCTAAAAATAACGCCGCTGCTGCCATCTGGTGCCACGGAAACTTCGTGAACGAATGGAAAACATAGAAACGGTGCATGTACACTATGGCCGTGTTGATACATAATTGTGATCTGTTTATCTGGTATTAAGGAAAATTTCGACAAAAAATGTTGGTCGTACACAAAAAGGGGTTATTGTACAATACAAAATTATAAACTGTGTGTCCTTTTAGCATAATCTACAAAATAGTTGTTATACTTACATTAAAATAAACATAATAGTTAATTAAAGTCAAAGTATGTGTCAAATGAAAGCTCTCAATTAGTTGATAAATTTTGCAAGTGGACACGTAAGAACGGGGTCGCTCCAGTAAAATCAAACATGGCAAAATGGGTAAAAATAGATAAAGATGATGTGAACTGTGACTGTGGAGAAACACAGAATATGGAACATCTTCTTACAAGCAGAAACTGTCCTCATCGATGCAACCGACGTAGCCTGATACTGGGCCGAAATTGTATGAATGACATGCCGGACACGATAAAGCAAAAGCTACAAACAAGATAAAGATTTACATGGTGATCGCCAACATATGACACGGATAGGCACACCAAGAAGAAGACGATGTGAAACCTGCTTTTTGTTAGCTGTTAATCATACGAATTAGACTGAGATTAAGAAGCATAAATGTGCTTTAATTTATACTTGTATTGAATGTGTGTCTTGAAAAAACTATTGAAGTAAGATAAAAAATCTTAAAATCGATGTAAAAAACACATCGATTAAAATTTTAAAATTGAAAATTAGTATTGAACTTTAACTTTGTATCATTAATTAGCAGATGGTACAATCAAACAAAAACCTATATTTGGGAAACTGTTGAATTGCGACCTCGACCATGACACGTTTTCTATTGTTGTGATGTTTTTTAATTAATATGTGCGGAAATAGAAGATTCGTAGGAAAACACACGAGAATAGATACAAAAATGAATTTTTATAAAACAATGCCAGTTTCAACAATTCTAAATGACAGCGGAAAGTGGATCTTAATTAAAAAAAAATGAAAATAAGATCCAGGCCGCCGACATGACATTTTTGAGAAGTGTTAGAGGATATACGAGGGCAGACCGAATAACGAATGAACAGATTAGATCAGAATTGGAGGAGTTGTGAGTTGCCCAAAATATCGAAACAACTGGAAATACCATCTGGACAGAATGAATAACGAAATTAGTGGCCATAGAGCCTAACCCATAAAGACTGATAATAATGATGATGATGTTTGTTATTGAACTGGTACATACTGGTCACAAGGAATTTTAAGAAATTCAACAGCAGAGGATTTTTAGGAAATGATAATGATGGTGATACTTAGCCAAACATAGCAAATTTAATCACCACGAAAAATAAATCAAGACAATCCAATGAAATTCAGAATAAGTGGGAAATTACATAAATGTGTTAAAGGAATTGATATAGTCAGCGTTCGGGAATCCTTATTTCTTTATTTTATATTGAATATTATTATAATATTTAATTTATTTCGGGTAGAATAAGTTTTAGATATTTAATAATTATATTTCGTTGAAATGATGCAGAATAACCTTATGTGCTTATTGGTCGCATTTCATTCCAAAGCGCGATATAATATGATTTTACTTCCAAGCACACAATCGCTCATATATCCAAAGAGTAAGATTTTAACCGACAAGGTACGACTTTGCTTCCAACCTTCAACGAAAAAGGTTAAGAATTCGGGACTTTACGTATCTGGCGCTACAGTCTCGCGTCCAACAGAAATTTCATGGAAGGAATCCATTGAAGTGATTGAGCAGTGATGAATTGAATAGTCACATTTGGGTCTGCATCGTTAACCAAATCCTAAAGAACACCAATTTAAGGTAAGCGATTTTGTGCATAACTTGTAGAACCATATTATTTGAACTTCAATCTTAAATTTACCAATTCGTTTTCATATTTACTACAATTACTATTCAGTCAGAGTTCTCATTACAGAACATTTAAGACTAAGAAGTAGCTTAATAATTCCTACAAAGATCATCAAAATTTTTTGTCTCGGTCTCGGTCAAATTTTAAAATATATTAATAACTCATTCAAAGTTGGTATTTTTTTCTGAGACTGGTAAAAACTGCACTGATAATCATTACATAGAAAAGAAGACTTATTCAAACCTGAAAATGTTTCTTAAAGAAAATTGGACATTTATTGGCCTAAAAACTATACCCAGCAAGGAACTAAATGAAATGTTGCTTGAAGATAAGTGTTGTGGTAGGCCCTTTTTAAAACCACTGGTAAATCAAATACTTTAAATTTTTCGATTTTTGTGCTAATATATTGTTGTTACCCCGGTATATTGTAAAATTTATCGAAATAACGGTAAAAATCGCTGATGTTTTTACCATTTTTTGCAAAAAAAAAATAAAAACATGCTAATTGTGCTTAATTTTATTTCGAATTTAGTTGGGTTGGATCACATTGTGGTTGTGCTGAACGTTTAAAGGGTTTTTTCAAGTTTATTAAGTGTTTTTTCTTTGAAATGAACCACCACCAGCAAGAAAACGAATTTTTGGATCGTTATAACTCTAGAATCAGCCAAAATACGATTAGAAGACTTACCGAAAACAACCTACACCCTGGAAGGGCACAAATTGGCCCATTATTGACCAGAGACCATAGAAGGCAAAGATTGCATTTTGCTCGTGAGCATATTGATTGGAATAATGACGATTGGGGAAGAAAATTGTTCACCGATGAATCCAGGTACTGTCTTTTTTTTGATGACAGGAGAAATCAAGTGTATAGAAGGCCTGGGGAACGCTACATACAGTGTAACACCGTAGGTACTGTACAGTATGGCGGCGGCTAGGTAATGGTGTGGGTGGGATTAATTTAGAGGCTCGTACGGAATTAGTTAGAATATATCGCAGTCGACTTACATCGCAGAGGTATATAACAGACATTTTAGAAGAGCATGTCGTGCCATTTGCACCATTTATTGGGGATAATTTCATGCTTATGCAAGAAAATGCCAGGCCACACACCGCAAGAATTGTGCAGCAGTATCGTCTGGAGGTTGAAATTCCTGCCATGGATTGGCCTGCGAGAAGTCCTGATCTCAACCCAATTGAACATGTTTGGGACATCATAGGCAGACGACTACGACAACTACCAAACACATTAGATGAACTGTTTTTGCGGTTGGTTGAAATTTGCGACCAAATTGATCAAGAAGAAATCAGAACGATTATGCTCAGTATGAGAGATCGTTGTCAAGCAGTAATAAATGCCAGAGGAGGCAATACTCGATACTAGTATGTTCTTCAACTTTAAAAATTTCAATTTCGTCATTAATTTATAATGTTAGTTTGTTTAGATCAGTTGTTTGTTTAGATGGATAGATTTATGATGTTATATTGTCAATTTCAATACATTTTTTGTAAAAAAAGAAAAGTTTTTTTATTTAAGATGCTCTAAAATAGCCATAAAGCAGAAAAGAACAAACACAAATTTTTTCATTACAACTCAAAATAAGAATTTTAAAATTATGCGTTATTTTTGGAGCGCAGTGTATATTATACTGATATTATACCTTAGGTATCGCTGTTATCCACATTCATGACAATAAATAAAAAATCTAGTGCCAAAAAATGCCCGTCGCCCAACAATATGCAAAAGATATTTCCTAAAATCATTCGACAGAATCATTGGTTTAGTCCCCACTTCCACGTACAATGCACTGTATAATTCCACTTACAATAGAACCTTTCTGACCTTTACGTGAATCTATCTTTACTACACAAAGAACTTTTCAACCTCCCCTCGTAAATGAGGTTGTAAACAATTTCATTTGATAGTTTTAACATCATGAACTAACAATTTTGTCGCTGATAATACAAGACAATATTCGGTAACATTTACGATTCATTTAAAACAAAAAAAAATTTAAAAACGTATAGATGCCATCCGATTTACATAAAAATAAGATTGACACAAACTTCCGATTTTAAGAGTCATTGAAAAACTTAAGTACGTCTCTGAACGACAACAGGAAACACCAAGCAATACTAATTATTTTTTATGACGGGTGGTAGCAATCGTATTGTTCTTTATCAGTTATCGCTTAGTATATTATAAAACTATGTCACTTTTATTGCCTCGGTCCGTATTGGTGCAATAAATAACTCTGCAGTTTAAATATGCGTTAGACTGGTTGGTAAAACAAGTATTTCAGTGATTCAATATGTGCATCATTGAACGCGAGCGCAATGTGTGGTGTTCTCTAATCTATAAGGTAAGTTGTTATTTTTATTTCTAGTTGAACCGACACGATAAAACAAGTTTTCAGGTTTTTTACATATTTGTATTACATTCTTGTCCTTGATCATTTAACAAAAGTTTTTCGTTGGAAGATTATTCAGTAAATGAATTTCTCATAGTAAAGTAAACTTCAATGAGTGCTTTTTTGTGTTTAATATTAATTATTTTTGTGTTATAAGTATTTGAACCCAAATTCCAAAATTATGAGTTTTAAAATATTAAAAAACTTCAAAATGTAAACTGGAAACCGTAAAATTGATTTGTTGCTTCGAAAACTGAGCCTGAAGACAAAATTATCAATTATTTATGTAAGTCTTGTAAAATCAATCCACACCTTTAATATTGCGTGGTGTCAAAATTTCAAATTTAGCCCAGTCTGGTTTAAAAAGGGTCGAAAAATTTTTCGCAGATATCTGAAGCTTTTTAAGTGGGGGTTACTAAATGACGAATAGATGAAAAAGTACTCGTATTTTTACCTTGCATTTTTTTTTAAACAATAATTAATGGTCACAATTTGTTTTTTGTCTTAAAAATTTTTCTCGCTTATATTTTACATAAACAATATTTATACCATTTTTTTTATATGAAGAATATCTTTATTTTCCTGTTTTTAAATTAAAATTGATAAATAATTTACGGAAATATTTGCAAAAAAGTAGTTGTTTGCACAAATTTATAAATTTTATTAATATTTTTATCAACAAAATAAAATATTTTTAATTTTGTGCTTAAAAAACTCACATCTCATCAACTAAGCAAAAATTCTTAGCGAATTGGTTTCTTGTACTCA